CGGTCTATAACTTGTGAGTAAAGGTTTGAGTATAATATAGGTTGTAACTTGTGTGTTTGCCCTATTATATTAGATTGGTTTGGTTTTGGAAATCCCTTAGAGGGTTGAGGTTTTACTTCCAATTGGGCCCTGGAAGATTTCCTCGTAAAATATTGTGTGCATTTCAAGTTTCTTTACATTATGTTTTTATATTTCGCAAAAGTAGTCGCTAAGAACTCACATACAATTCAACCCCCTCTTGTAGTGTTCGTCTCAACTAACATAAGTGAGTTCATAAAATGATTTACATGATAAAAATAACAAACTAGCTAATCATGAGAATAGCTATGAAATTGTTGTTTTAGCTGGAATTGTAAGAATGGACTTGTAATAATGACATAATCAAATCATTTTCTACTTTAAATTCGTTGACCTGCGTGAATTTAGGTTGTTTTGACTTTTGAATGTATTTTGAAATCGCAACTTGAAGCCGATGCAATGGTGGTGAGCGATGACAGAGTAGTAGGGGTTAACCAAATTGGCCTAATGTGTTGCCAAAAATCATGTCAACGTTTAGGAAAAAAGTGATGCATTGTGCCACCTTTTGCTTATTAAATCCTCCTTTTTTTTTCCCACTTGTAGCATGCATCTAGGGCTGGCAAAAGCTGACCCGACCCGACAACCCGACCCGAACCCAACCCGAAATAAATGGGTTTTGATAGAGATTTTCAACCCGTTTATGTAATTGGGTCAACTTGAACCCGACCTGAAGTTAAATGGGTCGGGTTCAGGTTGAAAATCCCAACCCGAAACCAACCCGCATAAACCCATTTATTTAATTGGGTCGGTTTCAGGTCGGGTCAACCCGAACCCAACCCGCTTAACTTAAAACCCTAATTTTAAAATATGGGCCAAGCCCAAATTATCTAACCCTAAGCTAATTCCCTCTTTCTCTCGCCGCTTTCTTTCACTCAAACTCTCTCTCTTCTCAGTTTCTCTCTCTTCTCTCCTCTCTTTTCTCTCTCTAACTCTTGAAGATTGAAATAAAAATTCTTGAACCTTGAAGATTGAAGCTTCATCTCAAACATTCTGAAGGTAATAATCCTATTATTCGATTTTTTATGAGTTTGTTTGCTCATGAGTCATTTGTTTATGCAATTTCCTTGATTTGGTTATGCAATTTTCAGATTTCTTTGATTTTTTAATGCGATTTTTTGCTATTATGGTTTATGTATGCTTTGTTTATGTGATTTAATCATTTAATGTTGTTCGTTTGTTATTTTCTTACTCTGCAATTTCTTTCGAAGATTTGATTTGTTATTTACTTATTTTGCGATTATTTGCGATTTGTTTATGCGATTTTTTGCCCTGATTTGATTTTCTTACTCTGCAATTTCATGAGTTTGATTCTTTATGTCATGACTCATGAGTTTATACTTCTGTTTTTCATGTTTTATCTTTTATGCCATGAGTGTAATTCTTTTTTTAATTTATTCACAGATGGCTAATAGCCCTAATCCTGATGAACCCATTGATCTTCCGGATTCTGATTCAGATGATGAAGTTTCTGATTCTCATCAAACGGAATCAAAGAAGAAAACCTCTAATGTCACCTCGCTGAATAAGCCTGGAATTCATTTCAAGCGCCAACGAAAGCTCACTTCAGATGTGTGGGCAAATTTTGAATTCCTTGATAAACCTGACGAACAAGGTAACATCATTTGCAAGTGTAAAAAATGTGGGCAGAAATATAATGCTGAAAGTAGGCAAGGAACTGGTAATTTAAAACGCCACATTAAGAAATGTAAAAAAAGGACCTTTAAAGATGTGGGTCAGATGATTATTGATTCAAGCAGTTCTGGTTCTATGATGAATAGGGTTCCTACAATTGATTATGATATTGTTCGTGAGATGTTGTCTATTGATGTGGTGAAACATGATTTGCCTTTTCAGTTTGCTGAATATAGTGCTGTTAGGAAGTTGATTAATTACATAAATCCTGATGTTAAACTTGTGTCTCGAAATACTTTGAAGGCTGATGTTCTGAAAATGTTTAAGAGGGAAAAAGATAAACTTAAGGAGGAGTTGAGTGTAGTTAAGGGTAGGATTTCTCTTACATCTGATTGTTGGACTTCAATTACTACTGATGGTTACATGTCTTTGACTGCCCATTTTGTTGATAATCAATGGAATTTGCAAAAAAAAATTCTGAACTTTCGTTTTTTGCCTCCACCTCACACCGGTGTCCATATGTCTGACCATGTCTATGATTTTCTTAAAGAGTGGGGTATCCAAAAGAAAATCATGTGTATTACTCTTGATAATGCTTCCTCTAATGATGTGTTTGCTGATGTAATTAAAAATGAACTTGATTTGGTATGTGGGGGGGATTATTTCCATGTGAGGTGTTGTGCACATATCCTAAATTTAATTGTGCAAGATGGGTTAAAAGAAATTAATGAGGCTGTTGTTAAGGTGAGAGAAACTGTGAAGTATTGTAAAGGGTCTCAGGCTAGAAAGCAACGTTTTTTGACTTGTGTGGCACATGTTGAACTAGACTCAAGTAGAGGATTGAGACAAGATGTCCCTACTAGATGGAATTCAACTTATTTGATGTTAGTGAATGTTTTGTACTACAAAAAAGCTTTTCTTCATTTTCAAAAGGTTGATGCCAATTACATTCATTGTCCAACAAATGAGGAGTGGGGAGAATAGAGAAGTTATTTAGATTTTTGAAGGTCTTTTTTGATGTGACAAATGTTTTTTCGGGTAATAATTATCCTACCGCTAATTTATACTTCCCAAATGTGTTGAAAATCCGTTTACTCTTGAAAGAGGAGCTTGAAAATTCTGATAACTTCATGCATAAGATGGCAGCAAGAATGAATGAGAAATTTGCTAAATATTGGACCAACTTTAGCATAATCATGGCTGTGGCTGTTGTTTTAGACCCTCGATTTAAGTATGAGTTTGTGGAGTGGGCTTTTAAGAAGGTGTATGGGGAAATAGAGGGTACTAATGAGTTGGTGAAGTTCAAGGAAAGGTTGGATTATTTATATGGTGCTTATGTGACTGAGGCTTCCACAACAACACCACGAACAAGGCGCCGTTCTTCTAGAAAGCCTAATGAAGAGCAAGTTGATGTTGCTTCTGATTCTTTTATGATGGTAACTGTGAACACTTGCTTTTTGTTTGATAATCAGCTTTAAATTCTGTTTTTTGTATGCTTTATTGTAATTTTTGTTTAAACATCTTTTAGGACTTTGATAACTTCTCTTCTAGCAAATCATATGTTGCTGCTAAATCTGACTTGCAAATCTACTTGGAAGAGCCATTGATTCCTCGTGCAACCAACATTAATATTCTATATCATTGGAAAACAAATGTTGTGAGGTATCCAATTCTTTCAAAGATGGCAAGAGACATCCTTGCAATCCCTATTTCAACAGTAGCTTCAGAATCTGCCTTCAGTACTGGTGGTCGAGTTTTGGACTGCTATAGAAGCTCTTTGAAACCAAACACAGCAGAAGCTATCATTTGCCTCAAAGATTGGACTTTTGGTGAAGGTATGAAAATAGTTTATGTATTTAAAATTACAATTTTTTTTGTTTCTTTTTTGTACTATTTTATTTATGCTTAAGGCTGAAATTAACTTTTGTATGTATTCTTTTGGTTGTAGCTAATATGGATCCGCAATTGCAAGATTTATGTGGAAAAATCATGGCCATGAAAGTCAACGATGATGTGGGGGATACTCCCAGCCCCAGCCCTCCACAAAGTGCACCAGAAAGTCCTGCTGTCATGGAGAGTCAAACCTGATTATGTTGTTAATTTCTTCTAAAATTAGTTGATGAAACTGTTACTGTTATTTTGGACATGTATTTGGTTTTCTAGTTGAACTTTTATTTGCCTACTTGGAAGTATTTTGGACATGTAACTCTTGGAAATATTTTGGACTTGTTGGCTAGCTACTTTTCAAGTTTTAGTTGTTGTTGTGAGTGTATAAAACTATGAAGTATGGACAATGCACTAATGCAGCAGGATTTTCTTGAATTATGTTGTTAAGTTATGTTTGCTTGAATTATGTGTTGAATTTGAAGTCTTGAATACTTGAATCTTACAGGTTAAAGAAATTAGTCAAATTACAGGTTAAAAAAATTACAGTATAAAGAAATTAGTAAATTACTGGTTTTTATTTTATTTTTTTTTTAATTAAAAAAAAATCAGATTTAGGCGGGTCGGGTTCAGGTCGACCCGTTTATAATCAGGTCGGGTTCAGGTTGGTTATTTCGACCTGTTTAAGTAAACAGGTCGGGTTCAGGTTGGGGGGTCCTGACCCGTTTATGTAAACAGGTCGACCTGAACCCGACCCGACCCGACCTGTTTGCCAGCCCTACATGCATCTCTACATTGGATATTATTCATATATTCTACCTACTAATTAGTACTTCAAATATATTTCGCTATTATAGTTAAAGATCATGTTACATTTGTCTCAATGTACATTGACTAAAACGTTATACAAACGTTGCAGACTTGCGGGTTAATAATAAAAAAGGAAGTAAATTAGAAAAGGCACTAGATAATTTTCGAGCCATGCTTTTAAATTATTAATTATTAAAATATACTTCCTTTATTATTTTTTTTTTTTTAATAAGTTAGAGTTATATAAGTTATTCTATTTTCTTACAAATTAAAGTGTCCACATGTGGTGGTAAATCCCACAGAAAATGCTTTGAAATGTACAATAGGATGATTAAAAAATAAAGGGTCGTGGCCTCGTGGGAGTTATGATAATACAATGTAACGTGTTAATTTTGGCTTAATGGCTTTGCGTCGTTGACAAAATTAAATAAGTAAAGACTTTAATCACTAATTAACGAACATGATTTCTAGTAGTCGCGTCCAAATAAATAAGTAAAGAACTTGTATTAGAATTAGTAAGGAAATTTGCCTATAAATAGCATAGGATTTTTAATGAAGCTACAAAAAAGAAAAAGCAAATTAAACGTGTGTGAGTGATGGCAAACTTGGAAGCGATTGTTCATTTACCAACGTATGTAGCACTGAAAGCAACATACGGTGGTGCACCATTCAAGTATTTGGGCGTGGAAGATGACGGCAAACTTGCGTATACCACTAATAAAGTGGTGAGTGATCGAGCCAAGTTTGCCGTCGAGTCTGCCGGAGATGGTATAGTTCATATCAGATCTTGCTATAACAACAAATATTGGGTCAGGTATCATTTTTTTTTTGTCAATCCTTTAGTGTTTTTAGATGCCATGTATTGTTGTCTTAAAAGGAAATAAAACTGTTATATATGCTCCCTCTAACCTCCGTTCCTATTTTATTTTTGCCTCATTTGACTTTACACGGTTTTCAAGTTGTGTTTTAAAACGCTTATATCTTTATCATCATACTTGTAAAAAATAAAACATATAATGAAATCTTTCAAAAAAAAAAAAAAAACATATAATGAAACAAATCTAATAAGATCTGACATGAATATAACATGTCTTTATTATCATACCGCTAATAATTTTTTCAGAATTGAGCATAAAACAATAAAGTATGTAAAGAGTTGAACTTTTATTTTTTTTTACCGATCTGAACTTAACATAAAATAATTAGGTAAAGAGTTGAATTGAAGTACGAGCTTAACATGCATGTAGGTCATCGGAAAGCGAAAATTGGATAGTTGCAACATCAAGAGATGCGGTGGAAGACAAAAGGGCATGGAATTGTACATTGTTTCGGGCCGACGTTAGTTACGACGGGAAGACAGTGAAGTTCGTTCATATTCAACTTGGAATAAATGTAGGGAGACGTGATGTTGCTTGGGATCGTGAGATGTACTTGTGCTTGGAACCTCTTGCCACCACCATAGACGTGTCTGCTGTGGTGGATTACGGAACAATTGTTATACTTCCTCAATATGTTGCATTTAAGGAACAAGAAGGTCTCTATTTAAAGACTTCTCCGATGCCATGCGAAGTTCCGTACTTCAGTTCTAACGATGTTGGGGATGCAGGCAATGCGTACGAAATCTGTACCACTCGTGATGGCCACATCTATGTCACGAATGATGATGTTAAGAGTGGCCTTTATTGGGATGCGTTATTTTATCACAATGATGATGTTATCCGCATCTTGCCTGAAAAGACATTAATTTGTGACACAAAGTGTTTGTTTTCAGTGTTTAAGGTCGATGTCAATACCATTGCTCTTCGCCACCTATACACCAACAACTTTTTAAAAATGCAAAAGTGGGTGCCAGAATATGATTACCTGATCGCCTCTTCAGAAGCTATAACAAGAGAGTGTAGATTACAAGTGGTAGAGCCTGTACTTGCACGCGAAGTCAATATTTTCGAATTTCATCGGGATAGGGCTAGGATCTACGGTCGCAGGCCTCTCACAATGGCCGAAGGAGTATCAAACAACCCAACCGACCATGAGCAAGAGTACACACTTCAGTTTACCTATACGAAAACTAGTACCAAGACTTGGAATACTAGTAAATCTGGGGCTGTGACTACCAAAGCTATCATTACCGGTGGAGTCCCTTTCATTGCAAATGGGACCTTAGAGATCGGTTTAGAGATTAAGATACAGTGCGATTTGGGATGATCTGTGTCCGAATCTGAGGAAGTGCAAAGCTCTTTTGCTGTCAAGGTGCCAACCTAAGAAAAAAGCAATCGTAAATGCAATTGCTACACAAGGAACATGTGATGTTCCTTATTCGTATGATCAGGTTGATCATATGCCTAACGGAGATGCCAAAAGGACTACTTTGTCAGATGGTATTTTCACCGGTGTTAATACCTATTACTTCGATTTCGACGTTAAGTATGAACCCTTGAACCCCTACCTCTAGCTGATCTACTCCATTGGAGAGAACGTACAATGTGTAATAGTTAGTTGTGCAATCTACTTCATTCGTTATTCATTCCTTTATATTATAGAAGTCTTACCAATATATTAATAATGTTACTAATACTACATACTCATGCGTTAGAAATAAGGAAGCAAAAGGACTGCTATATTGAAAAAAGTACTACTGCAATTTCATTCAATCAATGAACAACGGATCATATCGGAAGTGATAGCGGACCAACTCAACCATCAAAGTTGATGGTTTAAGCTCATGATTTGTTTATATACTTTATCACGTCTAGCTTGAAATGTGGATGCAACATGGATCCCCTTATACCCATACCCAACGCAAAATATTCTAAATGGCCTAAGAAATAAATGGGATTTGAAAGCTTAAAATGATAATTGAAATAAATAAAAATTGATTTATATACTCTATCAGAAAGTGCCTATATATGGCCTATCTATATAGCTAGCTCTAATAACTCAAGCTCTTATACTGCCAAGGTGCCACCTCCGGCTAGGGCTGGCAAAAGCTGACCCGACCCGACAACCCGACCCGAACCCAACCCGAAATAAATGGGTTTTGATAAAGATTTTCAACCCGTTTATGTAATTGGGTCAACCCGAACCCGACCTGAAGTTAAATGGGTCGGGTTCAGGTTGAAAATCCCAACCCGAAACCAACCCGCATAAACCCGTTTATTTAATTGGGTCGGTTTCAGGTCGGGTCAACCCGAACCCAACCCGCTTAACTTAAAACCCTAATTTTAAAATATGGGCCAAGCCCAAATTATCTAACCCTAAGCTAATTTCCTCTTTCACTCGCCGCTTTCTTTCAGACTTTCACTCAAACTCTCTCTCTTCTCAGTTTCTCTCTCTTCTCTCCTCTCTTTTCTCTCTCTAACTCTTGAAGATTGAAATAAAAATTCTTGAACCTTGAAGATTGAAGCTTCATCTCAAACATTCTGAAGGTAATAATCCTATTATTCGATTTTTTATGAGTTTGTTTGCTCATGAGTCATTTGTTTATGCAATTTCCTTGATTTGGTTATGCAATTTTCAGATTTCTTTGATTTTTTAAGCGATTTTTTGCTATTATGGTTTATGTATGCTTTGTTTATGTGATTTAATCATTTAATGTTGTTCGTTTGTTATTTTCTTACTCTGCAATTTCTTTCGAAGATTTGATTTGTTATTTACTTATTTTGCGATTATTTGCGATTTGTTTATGCGATTTTTTGCCCTGATTTGATTTTCTTACTCTGCAATTTCATGAGTTTGATTCTTTATGTCATGACTCATGAGTTTATACTTCTGTTTTTCATGTTTATACTTCGGATATGAGTGTAATTCTTTTTTTAATTTATTCACAGATGGCTAATAGCCCTAATCCTGATGAACCCATTGATCTTCCGGATTCTGATTCAGATGATGAAGTTTCTGATTCTCATCAAACGGAATCAAAGAAGAAAACCTCTAATGTCACCTCGCTGAATAAGCCTGGAATTCATTTCAAGCGCCAACGAAAGCTCACTTCAGATGTGTGGGCAAATTTTGAATTCCTTGATAAACCTGACGAACAAGGTAACATCATTTGCATGTGTAAAAAATGTGGGCAGAAATATAATGCTGAAAGTAGGCAAGGAACTGGTAATTTAAAACGCCACATTAAGAAATGTAAAAAAAGGACCTTTAAAGATGTGGGTCAGATGATTATTGATTCAAGCAGTTCTGGTTCTATGATGAATAGGGTTCCTACAATTGATTATGATATTGTTCGTGAGATGTTGTCTATTGCTGTGGTGAAACATGATTTGCCTTTTCAGTTTGCTGAATATAGTGCTGTTAGGAAGTTGATTAATTACATAAATCCTGATGTTAAACTTGTGTCTCGAAATACTTTGAAGGCTGATGTTCTGAAAATGTTTAAGAGGGAAAAAGATAAACTTAAGGAGGAGTTGAGTGTAGTTAAGGGTAGGATTTCTCTTACATCTGATTGTTGGACTTCAATTACTACTGATGGTTACATGTCTTTGACTGCCCATTTTGTTGATAATCAATGGAATTTGCAAAAAAAAATTCTGAACTTTCGTTTTTTGCCTCCACCTCACACCGGTGTCCATATGTCTGACCATGTCTATGATTTTCTTAAAGAGTGGGGTATCCAAAAGAAAATCATGTGTATTACTCTTGATAATGCTTCCTCTAATGATGTGTTTGCTGATGTAATTAAAAATGAACTTGATTTGGTATGTGGGGGGGATTATTTCCATGTGAGGTGTTGTGCACATATCCTAAATTTAATTGTGCAAGATGGGTTAAAAGAAATTAATGAGGCTGTTGTTAAGGTGAGAGAAACTGTGAAGTATTGTAAAGGGTCTCAGGCTAGAAAGCAACGTTTTTTGACTTGTGTGGCACATGTTGAACTAGACTCAAGTAGAGGATTGAGACAAGATGTCCCTACTAGATGGAATTCAACTTATTTGATGTTAGTGAATGTTTTGTACTACAAAAAAGCTTTTCTTCATTTTCAAAAGGTTGATGCCAATTACATTCATTGTCCAACAAATGAGGAGTGGGGGAGAATAGAGAAGTTATTTAGATTTTTGAAGGTCTTTTTTGATGTGACAAATGTTTTTTCGGGTAATAATTATCCTACCGCTAATTTATACTTCCCAAATGTGTTGAAAATCCGTTTACTCTTGAAAGAGGAGCTTGAAAATTCTGATAACTTCATGCATAAGATGGCAGCAAGAATGAATGAGAAATTTGCTAAATATTGGACCAACTTTAGCATAATCATGGCTGTGGCTGTTGTTTTAGACCCTCGATTTAAGTATGAGTTTGTGGAGTGGGCTTTTAAGAAGGTGTATGGGGAAATAGAGGGTACTAATGAGTTGGTGAAGTTCAAGGAAAGGTTGGATTATTTATATGGTGTTTATGTGACTGAGGCTTCCACAACAACACCACGAACAAGGCGCCGTTCTTCTAGACAGCCTAATGAAGAGCAAGTTGATGTTGCTTCTGATTCTTTTATGATGGTAACTGTGAACACTTGCTTTTTGTTTGATAATCAGCTTTAAATTCTGTTTTTTGTATGCTTTATTGTAATTTTTGTTTAAACATCTTTTAGGACTTTGATAACTTCTCTTCTAGCAAATCATATGTTGCTGCTAAATCTGACTTGCAAATCTACTTGGAAGAGCCATTGATTCCTCGTGCAACCAACATTAATATTCTATATCATTGGAAAACAAATGTTGTGAGGTATCCAATTCTTTCAAAGATGGCAAGAGACATCCTTGCAATCCCTATTTCAACAGTAGCTTCAGAATCTGCCTTCAGTACTGGTGGTCGAGTTTTGGACTGCTATAGAAGCTCTTTGAAACCAAACACAGCAGAAGCTATCATTTGCCTCAAAGATTGGACTTTTGGTGAAGGTATGAAAATAGTTTATGTATTTAAAATTACAATTTTTTTTGTTTCTTTTTTGTACTATTTTATTTATGCTTAAGGCTGAAATTAACTTTTGTATGTATTCTTTTGGTTGTAGCTAATATGGATCCGCAATTGCAAGATTTATGTGGAAAAATCATGGCCATGAAAGTCAACGATGATGTGGGGGATACTCCCAGCCCCAGCCCTCCACAAAGTGCACCAGAAAGTCCTGCTGTCATGGAGAGTCAAACCTGATTATGTTGTTAATTTCTTCTAAAATTAGTTGATGAAACTGTTACTGTTATTTTGGACATGTATTTGGTTTTCTAGTTGAACTTTTATTTGCCTACTTGGAAGTATTTTGGACATGTAACTCTTGAATTATGTTGTTAAGTTATGTTTGCTTGAATTATGTGTTGAATTTGAAGTCTTGAATACTTGAATCTTACAGGTTAAAGAAATTAGTCAAATTACAGGTTAAAAAAATTACAGTATAAAGAAATTAGTAAATTACAGGTTTTTATTTTATTTTTTTTTAATTAAAAAAAAATCAGGTTTAGGCGGGTCGGGTTCAGGTCGACCCGTTTATAATCAGGTCGGGTTCAGGTTGGTTATTTTGACCTGTTTAAGTAAACAGGTCGGGTTCAGGTTGGGGGGTCCTGACCCGTTTATGTAAACAGGTCGACCTGAACCCGACCCGACCCGACCTGTTTGCCAGCCCTACCTCCGGCACACAAACTATAAAATACGGAGTATGTGATGGGGTCCCTACCATTTCATGCAATATTTGTATTCTTCTTGTTGTCCCTTTCTAGCCTTAAATCCCTTAATCTGATGTTCTAGCCATCTATTTCTATTACTTTACTTGTGGTCTATCTCTTCTCAATACATCATATTTTGGGATTGAGGAAAAAAAAATAAAAGACCAGCTTTCTCTCATCTCAATACATCTTTAAAATGTCGGTCATTTTCCACGCTTTCCATTTTCAAGTCATTTAGAAAATACTCCATTATCAATCAAACAAATTCAATTACTCGTAATTAATTTGGATATGGGTCGTGGAATCCGGTTTTATACTTTGCTGATAATGCAATTTAGTTAAGTTAAATGTTAATGGCAAATAAGCATGACTATTTCACGAGAAAATCCTGTGCTTGTATAATGCTTTCATAATTATAAAACGTTACACCCTGAAATATACAAAAACCTAGCAGATTATATAAGTAAGGTAATAGTCGTAATACTATATTTGCTTCATATAGTAATTACCTCTTTGTATATCATGGATTCATGGTATACTAAAGAAATACAGTACAGATTAAACTAGAATTGAACTACTCGTATATTGACTCATGCTAATACACAAGGTATTTACCCTGGCCTCTTTCTTATTTGGAAAATTTGCAAATTGCAGCCATTTAAAAAAAATTGCAAATTGCAGTCCAAATGTTCGTATAAATTGTAAATTGCAGCCCAATTCCACCTTTTCATCGGTTTACATGTCGAAAAATCTCGTTTAAGGTTTTAGAGGCCATTTTAGCTCTTAGGGATCCGAATTGAGCTCGGAATTAGCAAAAAAATAACGTAAGTGTCTCATTTTCACAGTTTTCCACAAAATCGATATATTTTTGTTACGCAAAACGAGGCACTTACGTTATTTTTTGCTAATTCCGAGCTCAATTCGGTTCCCTATGGACAAAAATGACCCCTAAAACCTTAATCGAAGATTTTTTGAGATGTAAACCGATAAAAAAGTTAAATCAGGCTGCAATTTACAATTTATATGAACTTTTGGGTTGCAATTTGCAATTTTTTTTAAATGGTTGTAATTTGCAAAATACGAACTTTAAATGGCTGCAATTTGCAAATTTTCCTTCTTATTTTGATTTATATATGATGCATATTTACCTATTGAGTAAGGTTTTGTGTGTGTGTGTGTGTCAGTGTGTGTGTGTGAATACGAGGGGCTAGGCCCCAAACAAGAAAAACAAAAATAAAAACTTCGAGGAACAAAACGTGGCAAAACCACCTCTACTATATCATCATGTTATCGATAGTCAAATATATTATTGTTGAAAGGTTTACATTCATGTCTAGGAAACGTTTCAATAAAAAAAAAAATACAGAATTGATTATTCGTAAGAATTGGAGTATTTGCCTATTTGGATCTGGCGTGTTAAGTATGTACAAAGGGAGTATAGAGTAGAGGTGATCAAAATTGGTTCGGCCTGCTAATTCAGCCCGAAAATAGTGCGAGTTATGCTAGCCTAAAAACGGATTTTAGCTAAAAGTCCAAATCCGACCTGAAAAAGCCCAAAAAAATCCGCTTTGGCTTGACAAGTCTATTATTACTTTTTTGCAAATCTGGACATGACATATCATGTAAAGGCCCGATTCGGTTCAATATTTTTTTTTTATCAAGTCTAGTATAGAGGGAATATTGGTTAAAATTCAACCATATCCGGTCAAACTATTGTATTTAAAATTTGTAAATTCACGAAATTACCCAATTATTTCACTAACCCATACAAAAATTGTTGAATAAAACCAAAGAATGAGAAAGAGTCAAAAAATGAAGATGCTCTGAATCGTTGCAGAAGATTTGGAAGTAACCAACTCTCTCTTTCTCTCTCTTAACTCACTCTGCTACTCACTCACTCACTCACTCACGCATTCTGCACCACGCTTACCCCCTACTTCTCGTGGGTCCCACCCTCTAAAACGACGTCGTTTCTCCCCTCCTCCTACCTTCTTCTCTACCATAATAATGGCCATTTCTTCAACAACATTTTTTTCCGTTCTAGTGAGAGAAACTCTTCAACATTTCTAGAGAGAGAATCCAATTACTCCCATTTTTGTACGGATAATTACCAACCTAAGCTTTACTCTACTCAGGTTTGTCTTCTTCAACAATTTTATTTCTTAGAATTTTTTATATGAATTTTGAATATTGGAACAAGTTATTCAAAATTGTTGTTGTTTTCCCATATTTTGTTGGTTCAGATGTTTTTTGTCATTTTCAAAGTTGTTAATGACTTTAATTCGTTTAATTTGTCATTTTCTAGTATGGAATTGTTGTTATATCATACTCATCTATCTAATAATGGCTAAATTTACAATAAAATCATGGGTGAATTGATTGTTACACACAAATCACGTGTTAATCGGTGTAAATATTACTTTAGTGATAAAATTACGGGCGGGTCAATTGATATTATTAATACATTAATGCTTATTGGTGGAGGTAGAGTTGCATTTAATATATTACTGTATGATTTTGTATGGATTAAATAAATAATTTGATGAATATTTTATTTATGGAATAAAGCTTAGAGTTTGTAGCTAATGGATTGGATGGTTGCGTGTGCTACTATTAAAATAATTTAATTACTCTATATAATAAAAGATTGCATAAAATCTTTTTCGTGTGTTTGTTTTGCATAAAATATAAGCTACATTTTTATAATGTGTAATTTTTTAAGGTTTCTTAATTTATGATTATTTAATTTGGGTTGTTTGTTGCTGGAATTTTTGTACTACTATACATGTATTAGTAAAGTGGTTGAAGTTTGCAGCATTTCACTACTAGAATTCAATGGGAGTAGTTTGATTAATACCAACCTACAGTACATTAATTATCTTGATTTAAAAAGGAAAAAAAAAAGTAGAATGAATTAGGGTTTAATTTTGGGGATGATTTGGGACCACAATTAGGGTTAAAGCTCAAAAATTGGAACCAATTTTTATGAACTATGAATCCTGGGTTTGGAACATTCTATTTATAGTAATCAATTTTTAAAAATGGGTTTCTCAAGTACTAAAAGTGATTTAGTGGGGGTACCCGTGATGGGGCTAAGGTGAGAATGTGAAATGTGGGGGTCCAAAAAGATTTTTTTTTCACTGTTCTTGTGATTTTTGGTTCAGGGGTGAATCAACTTTGGACTGATTGAAAATTTTCATGAACTTTTCACAATTTTGTTGGAATGTGGTTGTCATGTTTGTGCTTTTTTTTTTTTGGTTCTTTTGTTTTGAAAGATTAGTGGGGGTTTGTGTTCTTAATATGTAATTAAGGTGGGTAATATAATTACATTAGTGTGTTATAGTTGATGTTTTACTTCTGAGAGTAGAAATTGGGGTAAGGATGCGAAAGAGAGTAGAAAAAGTGCCTTTCTTGAGAGTTTATCAACTCTTTAATGGTAGTATAGTGAGGGTGGAAAAATTGATGATGAATTACCTTTAAATTTGTATATATTTCATATAACGTATCCTCCATTTTTATAGGGTTTTAATATGATACTTTGTGCATATGCAGGGATGCTACTCTGAAGTATTGAGCTTGTATAGAATGATGATTCAGAGCCTGGTTTTAGTGCTGCTTATGCTATGTGCAGCCAATGGTTCCAGTGATATTGATATAGTCACTTCTCTACGGAAGGGTTTAATCCAGAGAAAAGAAATGATTCCTAGCTGGTTTTACCCAGAGTCTCCTGTGTGTAACTGGACAGGTGTAGTATGTGAAGGCTCGGACATCCTTGGGCTTAGTATTCCTTGTAGATCTTCACCGCTAGACCTTCCTCTTTCTAGTACCATAGGGGAGCTAAAACAAATGAAGTATCTTAATCTCAGTCAGTGTGGGTTCAATGGCATTATTCCTGATAATGTCTGGAGTCTCAAGGAACTCATGATTCTGGACCTGAGTGGCAATGGGTTCTCTGGAACTCTACCTTCAAAAGTGTCCAACCTGAAAAATCTCAGGCAACTTGTACTTGATGGAAACAACTTGTCTGGTAACTTGCCTTCATCAATTGGCCTTCTAACTGATCTTATGGAGCTTTCTGTTGAGGAAAACTTCCTCTCTGGGAATCTTCCGGCAGAGCTTGGAAATCTTTCAAAATTGGAGTCACTTGATATTTGTGCAAACTCTTTCTCTGGTGTCCTCCCTTCGAGTTTGGGTAATCTTGCAAGTCTGTTGTACTTTGATGCTAGTAACAACAAATTTAGTGGTCCTATCTTCTCTGGGTTAGGAAATTTAACAGGCCTTGTAAGGATTGATCTCTCCTGGAATTCCATCAGTGGAACCATACCGACTGATATTGGGAATTTGAGAAATCTGACTTCAATGAATCTGATGGGCAATGTCATTAGTGGAGTAATACCATCATCTGTTGGCAATCTCAAGGCACTTCAGTTGCTTAATGTCCAGAACTGCAGACTTACAGGTGCCATACCTGAAGAATTGACTGAGCTATCAAACTTGGGTTACCTGGGTATAGGACAGAACTCTTTTGTGGGAGAATTGCCAGAAAGCATTGGAAAAATGACCAGCTTAAAGCAGTTTCTTGCTGGAAATGCAGGGTTGAGTGGGGACATCCCTGGACAACTGGGTAACTGCAAAAGGCTGATTGATTTAGATCTTTCCGTTAATTCTTTCTCTGGTCCTTTACCGGATGGTCTTGCTGGGATGGATTCCCTTCGATCTCTAATGCTTCAGTCTAACCACTTGTCAGGGATGATCCCAAGGTGGATTTCCAACTGGAAGCAAGTAGTATCTATAAATATGGCTGAGAACCTCTTCACAGGGTCTATTCCACCACTCAATCTGCCTAAACTGATGTTCCTTGACATGAATTCTAACATGCTTTCTGGTGAGTTGTCTTCAGAAATATGCAATGCAAAGTCAATAAGTACCCTGTCATTGTCCAACAATAATTTCAGTGGAAGCATTGAGAATACCTTCAGAAATTGTAGTGGTCTAAGTGATTTGACATTGTCGATGAACAATCTTTCCGGTGAGTTGCCTGGTTACTTAGGTGATCTTCCTCTCATCACCCTGGCATTGTCAAAGAACAGATTTGAAGGAAAGATTCCAGATCAGTTATGGGAGTCAAAATCTCTGATAGGATTAATTCTTGACAACAATTTGCTTTCCGGAGTGATTTCTCCAGCTCTTGCCAAGGTTCAGACATTGCAGAGACTGCAATTAGGCAATAATTTATTTGAAGGGACCATCCCAACTGCCATTGGGAGATTGAGGAACCTGACCAACCTCTCTCTGCGCGGTAACCTGCTAACAGGAGAGATCCCTGTGGAGCTCTTCAACTGCACAAGCCTAGTATCCTTGGATCTTGGTTCAAACAGTCTTACTGGTCAAATTCCAAAATCCATTAAAAGATTGAAACTGCTGGATAATTTGGTATTAGCCCGGAATAACTTATCTGGTTTCATTCCTGAAGAGATTTGCTCTGGATTCCGAGAGGGGCCCTTGCCAGATTCCGAGTTCACTCAGCATTATGGCATGCTTGATCTCTCCTACAACAAGTTTTTGGGTCCAATTCCTGCATCAATTGGTCAATGCTCTATAATTAGGGAGCTGTTACTACACAATAATGAGCTGAATGGAAGCATTCCTTCTGAATTATCTAGTCTTTCTAACTTGAGCTTGCTGAATTTGTCCTCCAATCATTTAACTGGTCCAGCCATACCCAAAATGTTCACATTGAAGCAACTTCAGGGCCTTATCCTTTCACACAACGAGCTTACTGGCTCTATTCCAGATAATTTGTCCTCGTCAATGCCTAGCTTAACTGAGCTGGATATTTCATGGAACTTTCTCAGTGGTTCATTGCCGCCTTCTGTGTTCAGTTTTGAAAGCCTTAGCTACCTTGATATCAGTGCAAATTCCCTTACAGGAACTGTCCCTTGCCACATGGCATCTGCCAGCTTGCTGGTACATCTAAATGCTAGCAACAACCATTTTTCTGGCCCCCTTTGTGACTCCCTTTCAAACCTAACCACCCTTTCCTCTCTAGACCTGCACAACAATGCATTGACAGGAAGCCTTCCACCCTCTATATCAAACCTTGCTGCTTTGACATACCTAGATCTTTCTGGTAACAATTTTGGAAATTATGTTCCATGCAACATCTGTGACATTGAAGACCTCTCCTTTATCAATCTCTCTGCCAACAGATTTCTGGGAATTGTGCCTGAGTCCTGCACTGATCATAAAGGACCATGCTTAGCCTCTGGTCCTCCACGAACTTTGAAACAAGCCCCTATTTGGGGTATTATAATAGGGGTCTTAGTTGTCCTTATTGTTCTGGTCATCTGTGTGGGCAGACATCTGATATTGAAGCACAAAGTGGCCCTTCGTGACTGTAAAAAGTGTGAGCTTGTAAGTACAGCTGAGCGGTCTGATGATGAGCTCATGTGTAAAAAGTCAAAGGAGCCATTGAGCATTAATATTGCTACTTTTGAGCATTCTCTCACCCGCTTAAGCCCTGCAGATATATTATCAGCCACTGACAACTTCAGCAAGATGTTCATAATCGGTGATGGTGGATTCGGTACAGTTTACAAGGCATCCCTGCCAGAAGGGCGAACCATAGCTGTCAAGCGGCTTAATGGAGGACATTTTCATGGTGATCGAGAATTTCTAGCTGAGTTGGAGACTATCGGAAAGGTTCAACATGAAAACCTGGTTCCATTATTTGGGTATTGTGTCTTTGCTGAGGAAAGGTTTCTAGTGTATGAATACATGGAGAATGGGAGCCTTGATGTGTGGTTGAGAAACCGAGCTGATGCAGTGGAAGCCCTCAATTGGCCCACTCGTTTTAAGATTTGTTTGGGAACTGCCCGGGGCATTGCCTTTCTGCATCATGGGTTTGTGCCTCACATCATTCACAGGGACATCAAATCCAGCAACATATTACTGGATCACAACTTTGAGCCCAAAGTCTCGGATTTTGGCCTGGCCAGAATAATCAGTGCTTATGAGAGCCATGTCAGCACCATTCTTGCTGGCACATTTGGGTATATACCTCCTGAGTATGGACAGTCTATGGTGGCAACAACTAAAGGTGATATTTACAGCTTCGGTGTGGTGATGCTGGAGTTGGTCACTGGTAGGGCACCAACAGGGCAAGCTGACATCGAGGGTGGTAACTTGGTTGGTTGGGTTCGGGTGATGATGGCCACCCATCGAGAAGATGAGGTGCTCGATTCATACATCCCATCTGTCGCAAGGTGGAGGCGTCAGATGTTGCAGGTCCTCAGCATTGCCCGAATATGCACCAATGATAATCCTGCTAAGAGGCCTACTATGCTTGAAGTTGTCAAGCTGTTGAAGGAGATTAAAATTGAGAGTTAGAAGGAAAAATAATTTCCCATATGTAGTGTAAGTTGGGAACTGTAATCTGAAGCTGAGTTTGCTAGGAGCTAGGATCTGTATATAAATGACGAGAATTAAAAAATTTATTGGGGCATTCAATTTGAATGAAATCACGCCCCTATTCCGGAATCTTAACCAATTAATGAAATTTCTCTTCATTTTTATCTGAAGTCCTGATTAGAAGATTTGTCTCATATTTTGCCACTTTCGCTTTAGAAGTTTTTTGTTTTGCCTTTTCTGTTAGTGATGACATACTGATATAGTCACATGTCAAAAAAAAAAAAAAAAAAAAAAAAAGAAAAGAAAAGGACATACTGATAATAGTATTATCTACTTAAAAATAGCTGTGTGTGCTTACATTAATAGAATGTATAATCAGCTGCATTTGTTAGTCTGAATTGAAGAACTTTTTGCTGCTGGGATCTGTTTCACCTTTTTTTTGAACATGTGCAGTGGAATTACAGGTAAAAAAGCCATCCTGTTGCTAGTCTGTCACTGTTCTATATGCCACTGGAGATGGGTCATTAGTTGCAGTTGCATTTCAGAGCTTGCACCGAATAATATAATCGAGCTGTGCATCTGAACTCTCAGCTGGAATGCTTTCCACCCTCTAGGTGGTTCCTGTACCTGGAAAAATATCCATCCCTACAAGACTTGAGATGATGCTCAAGGAAGCTTTGTCAAGGATGGATGTGGTTCAGTGGTTGCCTCTAATTTACCTGGTTCAAAGGCTGCATCCTTTGCACAGGTCAGAGTTGTGTGTCTAGTTTCAAGAAAATTTCTAATGAAAGGATTTTGAGCTTAGAACTTTGGAATATTAAGTGATACCTGTAGAAAACAATCACTGGGAGTGTTGCAGGCCCAGGGTGTCTGTGGGGTGTGCGATCTACACTACTGATACTGGTGTGGTAAATGCTGCTGCAATGAGAAACACTGAGAAAACAGCAGTACTCTAATGTGGAACGCGATTACAGCGAGAACAAAAAAAGGTAAGAAAATCGATAGCAACATTATTTGCAAGTTTATTTTATATGTATGAGGGTTTTACTTGTATTATGAGCTTGAGGCATCTCACCTGTAATACAGAAAGTAGGAATTGTGGATTGTTGCCGTGCTATTGGTTGAATCTCTTGCTTAACTGCTGAAAGAGAGTTTCGTAAGAGTAATTAATCAAAATTTAGAAAGCCACCAATCCCCTGTTCTGGCTTCTTTTGCACAGAAGTTTTGGTCACCATCTCCACTTCTTAGAAACAAAGGCATACTTGAGTGTTCTTTTGAACCTTAAATCCAGGAACTTTACTTGCAATTGACTTCACCTATTCCAACATCCTTCCCCACCTTATTAGACATTAGTCGACCTACTTCTAATCATTCTAAAACCCGACTAATTATACTTTGTATAACCTAACACTTCGGAAATTATCCTAATATATTTATTTTTATGAAAATGTGGCTAGGTCAACTAGAAAAAGAAAAAGGTGGTGCTTAATTAAATAAATTAATTGATTTAGTGGGATCATATTTACTTAAACGACAAAATAGCTAGAAATAAGGACTATCAATCAACAATTAGTTGGTTGAGTAGCACAGTTCCACCAACTAATTTTACTCCATGATGGTTCTTTCTCTTTTATTTTCTCTGGTTGTGTCTCTGCACCAAACTCAAATTGTACTTTACATATTCACACGTAGCATGATTTATGATTCTACCTTGATAATTAAGGCTAACCAAGAAACTACTAGCATCATTTTTCAGCCACTTCAAATTTCATATTTTATAATAGAGCTTTCTTAAGTGCGATTTACTAATACTTTCTTGCATCTCCTTAATTAGTACTATTATCAAGTCACTAATGAGTAAAGACATGAAGGAACGGCGTGAGAGATGGATAATTCTTCCCTTTTCCTTCGGTTGCTCTTCTCGTTCAAGCGTTGCTGTTGGGTCTCCAAGTCCTCCTAACGGTGCTGTTCTAAATAGTACGAACTCTACCCCTTTGCTCATTCCTGAGTCCATATTCTTTTATCATGTGGTTGGTTATGCTAATCCTATGAGATAATTGCGCTCATCATACCAGTTTAGTTTCTCTGACTTGAATTATGCTTTATATGTTCTCCAAGGTAGACAAGGCAAGCAAAATGATTTACCCATCACCAAGAAAACCATGAACTCGATTAGCTTCAAGCTTCCGAAGTCCAAATTATCCCAAGGAATTAGAAGATTAATCAGAAGTTTGAAGACTGTTTCTCAATTCTTTGGTAAGTTACAAAAAAAAGAATTTCAAGAACAAAATTTGTTTTCATTAATACACAAGCTAGACAACAGTTTGGGAAAGTGTTTAAAAAAACTAAGTTGTAGACAATAATTTGTTGTGAAACTGATTGCTGTGATTCCTTAGTATACAAGGAGGAGATGGATGTCGAAGAAGAGAAAGAACTGGAGATAGGCTTTCCAACAGATGTAAAGCATCTAACACACATAGGATGGGATGGTTCTACTACAGTTTCTAATGACGCGAAAGGCTGGGAAAATTTGACCCCTTCAGAAATCATCTCTTTCCCATCAATTTCATTGAAACAATTCGAGGTTGCAATGGCTGAGCAAGCTGCTGCTGCAGGTGTTGCTGTTGGAGAAAAACCTGTTTGATATATCAGTCATTCCCTATGGGAAGAAAAATACCTGCCTTTCTTTTCTGTTTAATCATAGGCTTATTGATTTGTTTTTAATGCTACATGTATCATGTATGTGATAGAAACAGAAATTCATAACTCAGTTTGATTAACTAGTATGGATTTCAACTAATTTAGCTCATTAAATCGTCCGAAAGATTGTATGTAATACTGAGTTTTGGAACTTATCAATCTTACAGTCCAAATTCTAGATTCATTTTGGTTTTTGGCAGATATTGTAATTTTCAGTATCTATGTTAACTATCCATGGCTCTGTTCATACACCACCCATACACTACAGATCCCACTCTCCATCCCCGGTTCGCCTAGAGGACTCAGAACTGTGATCAGATCAGTGATCTGAAATGATTGAGCAGGATTCACAAGTGGGTTATTCAGGTATTCTGATTATCTATCAATTCACCATTTCCAGCATCAGAATCATTAAAAACCCAAAATAAAAAATCTGTTCATTTTTGCTATAACATTGCTAATGCTATACTCTGTATAAATATGTTATTTATGATTTATCTAAATTAAAAACATTTGCTAATGAAAAGTTGGTTCTTGCCAAAAAAAAAAAAAAAGTATTTTCTTATTGATGATGCAACCAAATTCAACAAAAAATTACCTAGAAAAAACCACCAATATGAAATTCAACCACCCAAAACAGATATCTAACCAAAATAATTTGAACACCAATTAAAACAATTTATTTGCATAAAAAAATTCATTGAAAAGAAAACAAAACAAAATAATGAAGATTAAAAGTAGAATGTAGGCATCACAGCGAGCACAAAGCTCACTAAAAAGAGCAAAGGCTTTCTGGAGATGACTCGGATTGTTTATGTCTCCGATTTTGAGTTTTTTTCAGATGAATGAAAGAATGAAGACTTGAAGACAACCCAGAAACTGATAAGTCTTGGCTGCCTCAGTGTCTTCAGAAAATCGGATTTAGGGTTTATTTTGAGACTATTACCCCTTTTATACTACATCTACTGATCTACCCAGCCAGCCCAGGTCCAATCCGTTGAAAATTAACCTAGTGTTGACTTTTTCATGACCAACTGTCAATGGAGTACTTCAATTTTTGTACTGTACATTACGGGTTTGTTCTGATTTACTGAATTGAGCTGAACAGAACTGAACTAAACTGAACTGATTGGAGCTGAACTAAACTGAATAGAGCTGAAATGAATTGTTTATAAGAGATGGAAATTAGGAACTGAACTAAACTGATTGGAGTTGAACTAAACTGAATCGAACTGAAATTAAGCTAAAAAAACATGCAAAATTGACTAAAACAATACAAACTATTGCTTTGTCCCTCTAGATTTGCAAAAATGCAAACCAGCAATCCTCGAGCATAAGACCTGCACCACTTGCTTATTGGGCTTTGTCTCAATCACTCCAACCACTCTGCTATAAGTTTGCATGTAAAATTATGTCCAGAAATAATGTTAATATCTCCTTTCATATATGAAGAAAATCTACGGTGGTGCCAAGAATCGTGTTTGCAGCAGCCCAAAGATCTGGAAAGCTCCACCTGATGGAAGTCATGGAACTATAAAGATCAACTGTGACGCCTCTCTATGTGAGCATGGGTGGGCTGGCTTAGAAATAGTACATCAAATCATTTAAAAACAAACATGCAAGATAACTTTTGGGAAATCTGTGTTCTTTTTAGCTCGTGTTTAATTTACTATAGGAATATAATCATATATGACCATCAAATTAAATTTAAGTAAAAAAAAGTCATTGAAACGTATGTTATCTATACTAATATATAATAAAAAGGCGTTACTAAAAACGTCATCTCATTATGCCACATCATCATTATTCAATCCAACTAGATTATTGATTCATATAAAAAAACGATGAGAAGGGGATTTGAACACCCAGCCTTTTATAAGAAAGATAGTTACTTAACCATTTAGGTCAATAATAAATTATGTTATAAATATGAAAATACATGAACATAAATGTATATAATTGATAATTACAAGGTCTAATTAAAGTAACAACTGGTGCGACGCCCGCGCTACACACTAATTTACTATTTAAAGCAGCAGATGGGGCATAATTGATTTATTGCATGTGCAATTCTGCAAGTATAGATACAACAAAGCATTAAATATCTTACACTTTATGCATCAATTTGAAATTCAAGAACTATATATAGAAAAATCTATAAACCAAAAGAGGAAAAAAATTACCTAAGCTAATAAGCATTATCTTATGATAATTGACACCCTACTTTTTCTCATTTTTTTCTTATCTAGATAAAGTATACATGTATCACTAGACGTAAAACTCATTCTATATTATTGGAAACTCATTTTAATTATCATATAAAACTCATTCTATATAGCCCTAAATAAAATGTCGTCACATAATACTAAAATAATTTGATCGTCTTGATGTTGTCCATGTTATTTATAAATAAAAAAAATCTTGATCATATAATTAAAACTCATTCTATATAGCCCTAAATAAAATGTCGGTCACACAATACTAAAATAATTTGATCGTCTTGTAAAAAAATAAAAAAAATAAAAAATTGTTTTGACGTTGTCCATGTTATCTTTAAATAAAATAGAAATCTTGATCATATTTCTTTTATTTTTTTTAAAAAAAGGAATCTTGATCATATGTATTTTGAAAATTAAGATAATAATATTCCCTTTGTTTGTACCTACTTAAAATGTCACAATTAATTAATGAGAGCACATTAAACCTTGATCATCAATTCACACAAATTAATGAGACAAATCGCGTACATATTCACACATAATACATAATGACATAATATGAGATATAGATGTAGATGATTAATTATGTGTATCAGAAAATATGAAAGGCAAATAGATTATTAATAATAATAATAATAATAATAATAATAATAATAATAATAATAATAATAATAATAATAATAAGCGGTGGTTTCATCTTCCTAGCAGGTCCGGCGAAGATTCTCGGTGGTGGCTCTGTTTTCAGGCGGTTTCAGGCAGAAATTCAGGCGTTTAAGGGGCGATTTTCCAGGCTGTTTGGGTGCAGTTCCGAGTCCTTTTTCCGGCATCATCTCTGGCGTAAGGTGTGATCAGGTGGGCGGTTTTCAGTCAGGGGTACTTCAGGCGGCTTTTGGGTGGATTTCAGGTGGTTTCTCGGGTGGTTTTCAGGCAGCTTTTGGGCGGATTTCAGGCGGCTTTTGTGGGTGGTTTCTTGATCAATTTTCTGGCGAATTATCACGCTGTTTTCCTTGGGTTTTTGGGCTGCTTCAAGCGTCTTTAGGGTGCGTTTATTTTTTGGTATTTTTTGGGTTGTTTTGGTCAGTTTTCAGGCTGCGGTTTTGGGTGCAATTCTGCTGTGTTTTCAAGCGTGGTTTTGCTCTGTTTTTGGGTGCGTTTTGGGTGCAATTTCAAGCTGTTATTGGGTCATTTTGAGGGCATCTTTTCTCGCGAATATTGGTGTTGTTTTTGGTCAGTTAGAGGAGGTTCTTTGTTGGTTTCTATTTTGGGTTTCGGTGATCAATATTTCCAGCGATTTTCGATATTAGGGGCTGTTTTGGAGCAGTTTTTGGGTGCTGCTTTGGAGCAGTTTTGGGTGCTGTTTTGGAGCAGTTTTGTGTGCTGTTTTGGAGCAGTTTTGGGTGCTGTTTTGGGTGCTGTTTTGGAGCAGTTTTGTGTGCTGTTTTGGAGCAGTTTTGGGTGCAGTTTCTGGTGCAGTTTTTGGTCCAGTTTTGGCAGCTCTTGGGTGCTGTTTTGCGGCAGTTTCTGGTGCTCTTTCGGGCTTATTTCAGTTTTGGGTGGTGCAAGTCAGCTATGTCGGCTGCCGTTGTGAAGTTTTATTGTCCCTTTGTGGGTCTTAGTGGTTGTCAAGATGGGAGTGGAAATGGCCTTACTCGACGTTCTCTAATCAAACATCTTAGTGATCGTCATTGTTGTATCGGTGCGCAAGATATCACCCGACATTCTCTTACTTCTAATTTGGCTGTTTATAATGAGGCAGAAGTTACTTTTAGGCGTATGGGGATTTGGTTATGTGGAGTTTGCTATAAAACGCACACGGTACGTATTAAGTGTCGTCATCGTGGGGATGAGGATGTGTCACCCCCTGATGAAGGAGATGGTGTTGTTCGTTTTGTGCTTCATAATTTCACCAAGCCGCAATCTCCTTCTTCTCCTGCTCGAGTTGATCGTATGGATGGATTGGTGAAAGATCATAACGGTGGTTTTGATGTGGCCCTCCTTGATTGTTTATTCTCTAAGGGGTTTCGCTCTGTTAAGTCTATCCCTCCCAAATGTCGTTTGGGGTTTTCTCGGGTTCTGAAAGGTGCTCTTGATAAGGTGATCTCTAAGCCTGATGACATTTCTAACTGGGTCTCTTTGTTGGTGTTACCTCTTTGCATCCTTAAAATCTTTCGCCCGCGGAGTAGTCGTGAGTCTCGGTCTTCGGTAAGACGTCGGCATCAAGAAGAGAGTATTTCCCGTGCTATTTGTTCTTGGAGTGTAGCGGGTGGTAATTTGCAGCTTGTGAGGGAAATTTTGGCAGAGGATTCTCCTACTTTGTCGATGGTTGATGATGAGGACATTGATTTGGAAGAGCGTAATATTAAGCAGTGTCGTAGGAAGATTTGCGATGGCCATTACACTGCTGCGGTTCGGGTTCTTTCTTCAGCAGGCGTTGCACCTTATAATGACGCCACTCTTGCAGATTTACAGTCAAAGCACCCTTCATCTCCATCTCCATCCTTGCCTGATATACCTATTGATCACCTTCATCTCGTTACGACTTCTGCTGTTGTTTTGGATCGGATTAGGAGTTTCCCTCGTGGCACATCATGTGGTAGGGATGGTTTGCGTGCTCAACATCTTATGGATTGCTTGAGTGGTGCGGCTGTGGCAGTATCAGATGAGTTGGTTGACTCTATTACTGGGGTGGTTAATCTCTTTCTAGCTGGGAGATGTCCTATGGAATTAGGAGAGTACATTGCTAGTGCTCCTCTTACGCCACTTGTCAAGCCCGGTGGTGGTATCCGTCCTATTGCTGTGGGTACGGTTTGGCGGCGTCTCGTTTCGAAGGTGGGTGCTGTTATGGTTGGTCGGTCTTTAGGGAGTTACTTTTTTGGCCTTCAATTTGGTGTTGGGGTTTCTTCAGGTGGTGAGGCAATTCTTCATGCGGTGAATCGGTTGATTGAGGACCGTGGTTCTGATGTTG